TGGAAAAAAGAAACATGACAGCAGAAAATGTATGTCTATTGTTTTGACATTCATATGGGAGCTTCATATACTCAACATATACTCAAGCAACTTCTCCAGGAGGTAAAGATATCCCCAAAATGCCCCAGTACCAAAGGAAAATAAGGCCAGTCTCACAACTTGGCAGCACTATTTGGAACAGGATTTCAGTTTACCAACCACTTAACAGTGTTTTCTGCTCACAAACTTTTTTAGAAAAAGCCAACTTGTTTTCCAAATGAAATGGACAGAAAATAACTTTAAAAGGGGGTGGTGTTACCATAGATAAGAATAATGTATAGAAGAGTTTATGAAGCTCTACAAAAATTAGGCCTACAAAAATTTAGTCAATTTGACTAAATTTAAGGACTTCTAACATTCTATTTTAATTGCTACTTTAAAATGTTTCACAGTGCTAACATAATTATGTAATTAAAATCTTGGGTTTTTTCCATTATCCTTCTGGTATTCTAGCACATCAGCATTTTCAAAAATTCTCGGCATACTAAATATATATTGCAAAAAATCAACAAGAATTTTGATGTGACAAACTCTATACCATAGAATATTGCTTTAAAGGAGAATTTCAGTCAACTGTGGCAGCATACACCTGTAGTCCAATTTACTAGGAGGCTGAGGCAGAAGGACCACTTGAGCCCAGAGTTCAAGACCAGTGTGGGCAACATAATGAGACGCCCCCATCTCAAAAACAAATGTAAATAAAAATAAAGAAGAATTTAAAATGTTTCTTATTTTAAAATCAATAGTATTTTAGTAATAAATACTATTAGGGTTAAAACAAGGTGTGATGTTAATTTATCTTTCAGAAAAGCAAAATATCCAAAAAAGTTATATGAAGCATTTTAGTAATATCAGAATCTTTCTTACTACTTTTTAACTTTTAAAATATTTTTTAATACCTTTGTTTATTTATTTATTATGTGATGCTGAGAATTGAACCCAGTGCCTCACATGTGCAAGGCAAGTACTCTGCCACTGAGCCAAAACCGCAGCCCACAACTTTTTAATTTTATGCATTATTTTTTGTGATGTTTATTTGAGCTGGTTTCATGTAATCTTTTAACACATTAAGTTGTCATTCACATTTAAAAGCATAAAAACATTTAATCTGCCTAAGGCTTTTCAATAACGGGATAAATAGGACTTGATTGTTGTTTAATCAATCCCATACCTTACTTAACAAGGACTTTCTTCTGTGGTAAAACAGAGCAGAGGGGCTGTGAAGAGAAGTCCCTTTGTTCATTGTCCCAGTATTTTTGTCTCTATAGTAGTTTGTAACTGTCTCGAAAATCTCTCCCTGCAGAGTGACCTTGCCACTCCGTATCAAAAGGTTTTGCGTCTCCTTTTGCACCCCACTGGATCTATGCAGGCCCTATGACTGTGGAATATGCCAGGAGTGACACTGGTAAGTTGTAAATGTTTCCTTTAACTGGCCTGGCAGTTCTTGCTTCCTGTCTCTTAGAAACCAGTTGATATGTAAGAAATGCTACTAGTCAGGGACCACCATAGGATAAGAAGGCCAAGCCACATGGAGAGACTCAGGAGGAGAAAAGGCCACAAGGAGAGAGGAAAAAAAGCCTAAGAAGTAATGAGGTACCACACCAGTGAGTAAAGAAGCTGTCCCCAGTAAGCTGTGACATGACACTAGCCGCAGCCACTCTCTGACTGCACAGGAAATCCAAGTTAAGACCTGCCCACCTGAGCCTGATCTACCAATGGAACTTTGGGAGAGTACAATAATTGTTGTTTTATCCAAGTTTTTAGCACTTTCATGCATGGCAAGAGATACAACAACTCTTTAGTTTAGTTTAGGTTTGGGAGTGCTAAGGTCAAACTCATGACCTCGCACATGCTAGGCAAGGTACTTGATCCAGCACTTAGAACAATTTTTATGATAAAAATTTCTCCAAAATGTAAAAAATGTTGGAATTAGCATTCAGTGTAGTATCTGTAACACTGTTTTGGTAAAATAATATCTTATATTTTAAAAATAAAACCTGGAACTGGGTATGTAACTTAGTGGTAGAGTGCTTGCCTAATAGTGTAAAGCCCTGCATTCAATCCCTAGTACCACAAAAAATAGAAAATAAAAATAACACCTACCACTAACTGCATATTAGATATTCTTTTGGAAATGTTGCACCCAAATATATAATGATCCTGTGTGGTATCACTCTCTTGGGGGTGTGTGTGTGTGTGTGTGTGTGTGTGTGTGTGTGTATGTGTGTGTCTATCCCTAGGGATCAAACCCAGGGCCTCATGCTAGGTAAATGCTCTACCACTAAGCTACATTTCCAGCCCTCATTCTCATTTTTACAGATAAAGATATTTGTAGAACAGTGATAGGACATTTGCCTAGCAGACATGAGGCCCTTCGATCAATTCCCAAAAAGAGCAGGAAGTGTATACTTAGAGGTGGAGTAACCTATAAAATTTTACATAATTAGCTACCGGCAGAACCAAGATTTTAAAATGTCTCTACAATTCCAAACTCCAAGCTCTGAACCACACTTCACTACATTGCCCTCAAATCATGATATTTTACAATGAGCATCTTAAATATTTTTTTTCAAACGACTTACCCCTAAATAAGATGCTAATGTCTGCTTTTACAGCAAGATTATTATGTGACAGCTTATATATAAGACCATGTAACTTTCAACTTAAGTTGACTTCAGTTTCTTCAAAACTTTTGCTTGGTTGTTTTGTCTGGGTTTTTTTTTGTTGTTTTTTGTTTGTTTGTTTGTTTGTTTGATTTGAAGTGAGATCAAATCCAGGGCTTAGTACATGCTAAGCAAGCATACCACTGGGTTATATCCCAAGCCCTTTAAAAGTGAAAAAAAAAATATTTCATTTGGACAAAGAGGGATGGCTCAGGCATTTAATTACTGACATAGTTATGAGGACAACTGTCTGATTGGTGGGGAGCAGGGAAAGAAGAAGATTTGGCTTTGATATACATTCACTTGTATAATTCTCTTAACACTTCTGTGAGGAAGACATTATATAGCACCTATTTCATAAAGTAGAAAACTGCATGCCAGAGAATTTAAAAGGCTTTTCAGTCATCCAGAAAGTAATGTGGTTCTAAGATAGTATCCTTCCACTTGCACCACCCCTATAGCCTAGAAGTACACAGCTGATTTGTATCTCCCTCTGTTACTTCGATTCACACATGGATCATGACATTACAGTTGTCTTTTCTAATTGGATTTCCAATTTTTCTCAACTCCCCTGGTTCAGGCAAGCAACCCTTCTTAAGCCCCAGAGTATTAAGGATGCTAGAGAATTTCTATAATATTCCCTCTGAGCCCGATGAATAAAAAAATCACTGGATTACTTCCAACATTACAATAGTACTGCTGTAATGTTACACACCAAAACTAGAACTGGCAAGACCATAAATTAATGGCAAACTACTCTAGGCTTTATAATCTAGAAAACTGGAAGTTTGAGGCTTTCAGCCAACTGGCCTCAATGGAAATATTAATTGAATCCTGTAAATTTTCTTCTGTGAAAGCAAAATAATCTTGATCCACTTTGGGAAAAAAATGTATATTACCTTCTAATTTTGCCATTTCTGTTCCTAGCTATTTGAGTTTTCATGTAAATTTGAGTCTTACATTAAAAAGAAGCTTACAATGAAGCCAGGCATGGTGGCACAAACCTGTAATCCCAGCAGATCAGGAGACTGAGGCAGGAAGATCAAGAGTTCAAAGTCAGCCTCAGCAACAGAAAGATGCTGAGCAACTCAGTGAGAACCTGTCTCTAAATAAAATACAAAATAGGGCTGGGGATATGGCTCAGTGGGTGAGTGTCTCTGAGTTCAATTCCTGGTACCAAAAATACTAATACCAATACTAATACTACTAATACTACTACTAATAATAATATCATACAATGGAACTAAGAATCTGTGTGGAATATACTCATTTGCTCTTTTAATACTTCTTAGATGCTAATTTTTCAACAGGAAATAGTGAGAAATATGACTCACTTAAAATTTCAATGACTCTATCTGCAAAGAAATAATGAACTTAAGAAAACTAATGTTAAAATTGAAGTGAAAACACATAAACTATTCACAAATGGTGAGTACACTTTTTTTTAAAGAATTAAACACTATAGTAAAGTGTTTAATTCTTTACAATGCAACTTGGGCAACCAATATTTCAAATAACTGCAATTTTTAAAACACTTTTGCTCTGAGATTGGTTGAATCAGAGGGTGCAGAATCTGCAGCTATGGAAGGTCAGCTATGAAGGTAGTTGGGAAAAAGTTTTCAGAAACTCATTGGAATGGCCAGTTAGACTCAGGAAAGTGATTTATCATTGCAAAGTCATCAGAAACAGTTGGAAGAATACTACTAAGTGTTCTTTTTTTTTGGGGGGGGGCAGCATTTTACAAAAGAAGAAAATGGAAACAATGTTGAAGAAATTCCAATGTTACTATTCGAAGTCTGCATGAGAACCTTTATTCAAAATGTAATCAGAAACTATGGTCATTCTGCTGAACAAGTTAACTACTTTATCACTAGGTCAACTTGCCAGATGTAGTTATCCATCATTTAAAAATTGATAATAAAACAATATCAGCAGCTTACATAATGTTTACTTGCCCTCTGCCTGGCTTCTGAAAGCTAAGGGAAAGAATGCCTTTCAAATGACATACAATAATTCTTGAGGAAAATTTTAGATACTGACAGGCACTATAGCAGCTCAGCAGGAGACATTTGGTTTCTGGCTTCTGATAATATCTTAGTCTATGGTCACCAGCCACAGTTTCACAGACTTCCTCCCAAATCAATCATGAGTGCAAAAAAAAAGAATGATTAAATGCCTAATTTTCTTCTTACTCTGTTTATGCACATTATTCTCAAATTCTCTGTATTTATAGTCCTCTGTATTCTCAAATATTTTACTCCTCAGTTAAAATACCCCAAATTATTTTATTCATATTACCTTTTTCTGGACTTTTTGCAGAATGTGTTCAGGGCAGTTGCTGGTGGATCTGAAGAGGAATTTTAATTTCGTCTGGTGATTTCTCTGTAACTGCAGTTAATAAAGTCCTCACCTGTCTTTTATACCAGCAGAGTAATAAAAACTGCATGTTCCCACCTGCTTCTAAGCCCAGGGATTACGGTAAATTCCATCCAATGATTGAATGGTACTTGGTGTAATTACTATGACATCAATTTGATCTTATCTTGTTTCAATCCTTAGATCATTTTTGTTTTGAGCCATTTTCAGGCAGTGGTGACCGCAAGGTCAGCTTATGAAAAAAAGAGTGTTCGGTCATTTTCTACGTAATTTTATCAAGACATGCACACAACATCCTGAAAGCTGACACTTTCCTATAAACAAAACTCTAAGACTATCACATTTAATTAGCTAAGTACCTGATGTTTTCTTAAAACCAGGAGAAGAGCTATAAATCTCAGATAACATATATGCAATGTTTCCAGACTTGCTACATTATTCCAGAAGGAAACAGAAAAATAAAACACACCTATTTAGACTTTTCTAAAATTAATGTGCATCTGGATTGAATAAAGGCAGAAGGCAGTTCTGAGAAGGACTGAATGGTCCTCAATATATGTGCCTCTTTTTTTCTCATTTTGCTTTTGTAAAGCTCAGTTCCTGCCTGAACAGAAAACACATGTGTTATGATCAGCCACTTAGAACGCTTAACTACAAGGTTCTCCTAAGTCTAGTGTGTCCCTAAAACCTACACAGCTCCCCAGGCTGCAATGTGGTTGTGGCTGCTTTATCCCTGAGTTGTGACCTTTCAAAGGTTCCTGCCTCCATGTACTCTGCTTAGTGCTACTTCTGTAGGAACTGGCTAGATATGAACTACCAAGCACCTCCCCAGGAAGAAGCTTAGGAGATTCATGTGATATAAAATGCAACTCTTTGTTTAATGTAAACTGACCAAAGAAAGCAAATTTGTTCTGTTATTTGTTTTCAGGACTAAATGATTTGTTTCCATTCTTAGACCTTTTCAAATTTCCATTATCTACTTCTGGTATCCACCCCACCTTTTTCTGGTGATGATTGCTGTTCCTTTTATTCATGAATTTTCATCACTGAAATCTCAAAGGTTTAGCCAGATATTTTCAACATAGCCCATCTCTTTGGGAAATCTGGAGACTTCATAATTTCAAGGAAAGGGAATCTTTCAAGTCCTTTGGAAAGATCCCTTCCTCCCTCACTTTCACTCAGGAATTTTATTCTTTATTCTGTCCTTTCTCCTTCATTTGTGCCTTCTTTTAATCCTTCTTTTTTATTCCCCTTTTTAAATTTTTTATTTGTTCTTTTTAGGTATAGTAAAATGTATTTTGACATATCATACATACATAAAGTATAACTTCCCATTCTTATGTTTGTGCATTATGTGAAGTCACACTGGTCATGGATTTATATATGAACATAGGTAAGTTATGTCTGATTCCTTCTACTGTCTTTCCCATTTCCATCATCCCTCTCTTCTTCCCATATCTCCCTATCCAATCTGGTGAACCTCCACTCCTCCCTAACCACTACCTGTTGTGAATCAGCATCTGCATATCAGAGATCACATTTGGCCTTTGGTTTGGGGGGAATTGGCTTATTTCACTTAGCATGATAGTCTCCAGTTCCATCCATCTCCTGGAAAATGCTATAAGTTCATTCTTCTTTATGGTTGAGTAATATTCCTTTGTGTATATATACCACATTTTCTTTTTTTTAAAGTGTTTATTTTTCAGTTGTAGTTAGACACAATATCTTTGTTTTATTTATTTATATGTGGTGCTGAGGATTGAACCCAGGGCCTCACACATGCTAGACGAGTGCCACAACCCCAGGCCAATACCACATTTTCTTTATCCATTTATCTGTTGAAGGGCACCTAAGTTGGTTCCATAGTTTAGCTATTGTGAATTGAGCTGCTATAAACATTGATGTGGTGGCATCACTATAGTATGCTGATTTTAACTCATTTGGATATAAGCTGAGGAGCGGGATAACTGGGCCAATTGATTTTTCCCATTCCAAGTTTTCTAAGGAATCTCCACACTGCTTTCCAGAGTGGTTGCACCAATCTGCGGTCCCACTAGGAATATGTAAGTGTACCTATTTCCCCACCTCCTCACCTATCACAAGGCTGCTAGCGGCTTTGCAGGGGTAATTTCTTCTTTCCAGGAGGGATAAGCCCCCTGAGAAAATAGAGTCTGAAATAATTAGTGAAGAAATAATTTAGTGAAGAAATAAAAGATGAGTCAAAGAATAGGTTTTCTTTGACCTGATATGTCCAGCCCACATAGGAGCTGGAGCTGAACAATTAGAAAATGGCTCCTTTGGTTTTATTTAAGGGGGTATCTCAGAAACAGGGATAAGGTTTCGGGAGTCTTGCTTCATGATGACGTGCAGTCAACAAGTTGACTGGTATCTTGGCAGGCCACACCCATCCCTGAGAGGCTGTGTGGCTATATGGCTGCAGCAAGTCACCGCCATCTCCGTTGTTATGTGAGACCTTTTTGGCAGAGCTGAATAGAAATTCACATGTATTTGGTCAATCTTAACCAGTGGGCTTGCCACTGGAATTTCCTAAATACCAGTTTTTCCTATTCAGTGGGCTTCCACACAGATTTGGTTCACACATAGTCCACGGATGGCTCTCGACTCTCTCCAACATTTATTGTTCCTTGTATTCTTGATAATTACCATTGTGGCTGGAGTGGGATGAAATCTCACTTTAGTTTTAAGTTGCTTTCTCTAAGTGCTAGTGATGTTGAACATTTTCTTCATATATTTGTTGACCAATTGTATTTCTTCTCTGAAGTGTCTGTTCTGTTCCTTTGCCCATTTATTGATTGAGTTATTTGTTTTTTGGTGTTAAGCTTTTTGAGGTTTTTTTTATATATTTTCAGAGATTTTTCCAATGTCCTGTTCCATATCCCCTGAGCTCTGTCTGATGTGTGTATGTGTGTGGTAAAGATTTTCTCCCATTTTGTAGGCTCTCTCTCTTTGTATTCTTGATTGTTTCCTTTGCTATGAAAAAGCTGTTTATTTTGTTTATCCCCCTTTTATCTGGGTGATTAAGTAAAAATGATATTTCTGTGTGCTCTTATTAAATTATTGTAATTGATTTATGATTTATTAGTGGATTTTATTTTTACTTCACACTTCTATTTAGAAATTATGAACACTAAGGATTTCATATGAAAGTTTTTATAGTTTTTATATATTTTTAAATTAAGCTAAATAAATAGTTTAAAAGTGTTGTAAAAATGGCTCCTTCCACACTTGATCACTTTCCCCAGATTTCCAATTTCCCTACTCAAGAGTAATGTTTCCAGTGTTTTATGGGGTGTACATCTAAGCAAATCATACATAAGTCTCTACCCTGTCCAAATTTACCTTAAAATAATGGGCAGAATACAAATTTGGAAAAAAAATGTATTTGTACTATGGTTTAGAGAATTTCTTTCTGTTAATATAGTCTAGATTATACTTCTCTGTGCTTTCTAAAATAAATACATATTACTTTTATAACAGGGTCTTAGAGGCTGCTTTTGCTAAAAATACTCTTCACTTGGGCAACTAAAGCAGGGTAAAAGTTTAGTATGTTTTTGTTCTGTTTTGTTTTATCATGCTAGAGATTGAACCCAGAGTATCACTCACAGTTGGAAAGCACCCTATCAGGGTTATATCCCCAACCCTTTTCATTTTATTTTGAGATAGGTTCTCACTAAGTTGCCCAGTTGATTTGAGGCTGGCCTCAAATTTGTGTTTCTCCTGCCTCAGCTTCCAAGTATGCACCACCAAGACTGGCTGTCTCCTTTCTTCCTTAAACTTGGTCAGATTTATGCTCAACTCTGCATAGACATGCCAATCACTTAAGGAGTGTTCATCTAAAAAGCAATAGTCCAAGATGGATTAGCCTAAATTTACCTAAACTTTCTCATCCTTCTTCATGGTTAAAAGCACCAAGATAAGAACAAACAAGGTCTTTTAAAGATTTTCAGAGATTTTCCAACGTCCTGTTCCATATCCTCTGAGCAACTAATGTCTAGAAATCTCTTCAGTCATTGCCCCAAATCTGCCAGGAACAGTGAACCTTGTGGGTAGATCACCCCATAATGAAGCTGCCCACCTAAGCAAGAGAAATCTTATGGAAAACAGATTGCCTGATCAAGTAACAACTTCTCCAGGATCTCAAAGAATCAAAACTGAGATAATGATAAGTGAGAATACAGTTTGGTCAAGACTGTTTAATTATGCATACCTCTTGCCCCTGTCTCAATTCTTCTCCTATTTAAATCTGATGCTCCTACTAGTACCCCAGAAAGACAGGGCTGAAGACACTTGTTCCCCCTCTTTTTCCTGGTGTACCTTACTGAGTAAAATTCCTTTCCTACTTCACCATTGCTTCTTTTCTGTTTGTCATTTGGGGCAAGTGGCCAGACCTGGATTGTTGAGACTCCCCAAAAGTAAGCCCCACTCACCCCAACCTAGAACTCCAGCAACTTTTATAATTGGAGAAAGGACGGTTACCAAAAATTTGCTCTTAGGTTTTACTGTTTTGTTTGGCTACTTCGTCATACTTTTGACAGTTCTATCCCACACCTGTTCACTCTATTTCTCTGGATATCAGCAGGATTGATGGGTGAAACATATAAACACCACTCCTCATTCATCTCCCAGAGGCTAAAATATGAAGTACCCTTTACCAAAAAGATAAACCCACTGAAGATACTGGTGTGGCTCAGGGCAACTCACCACCTTCTCTAGATGAAGTCCTGAAAGCGCATCGTTTACAGAGAACAGGTCAAGAACTTCCTTATAAAGCACTATGACACAGTAATTAAGTACATAGAAGCCATGCTAAACACACGAATTTTTCCCTAATGAAGAATTGTCATTTATACACTGAATTTAAAAAAAATAAGTACCTTTGTAAATGTTTTATATGCTTACTAGATTTTTTTATTAAATGTAATTTGATCTTTCTAATAGTGAAACATGATTATCACAAACATTATGCTATAATTAGAACAGCTGAGGAATATAAAATCCTTGCTTTTTAAAGTTCTTTTTTTCTCA